TTTGATGATTAACAAAGGTTAGTCTCTTTCTTTTATATCAAGCATAAAAAAGTAATGTAAAAAACAATTTTTTAAGTCAATTCCTACTTTGGACAACAAAGAAAATTTTTATTTTAGTTATTTTTTTATTAAATAGTTACAATTTTAATATAAATATGTATATACATATGACAGAATCCCAATATTAAGTGACAAAATAGAGAAAACGATTTTTCTTGTAATTTTCCTTTCTACATATGGTGTTAGACTATTTTGTTTGTTATGGTTTATTCATTAATTAAATTTTTAATTATGCGGAAAATAGTATAGCAAAAGAGAAACCACATTCTCAGAAATTAGGCTATCCCAGATGGGATTCGAACTCACGACCTTTGGATTAGAAGCCCAACGTGCTATCCATTGCGCTACAAGGACACAGTGAACGATTTTCCTTTCTATATATGTTGTTGGACTATTATTTTTGTTACTATTTATTCATCTTTTAATTTAATTGATGAATTAATATTTGAAAAAATGTATTTGAACTTGAATAGATGAACAGAAAGTATTTTATGAACGAATGAAAATTTGATTATATATATATAGGGAGAGAGTGAACTAATAGCAAGAACTGAGAAAAGATCGCATTAAACCAGCGTTTCTCAAACAGTGGGGAGCGCCCCTTTTGGGGGTCGTGATAACTCTACGAGGAGGACGTGAGCACATTGAAAAGTCAAAGACACAAGATTATTTAAAAAAATCTATAAATTTATAAAAGGTAAGAAACAAAATACACTTTCTGATATGATAAAAAATAAAATACACATTTACACTGATATAATAAAAAATAAAATACATATTTACACTGATATAATACACTTATAAATGTATCAGTACTGCACGATGTATTTTATAACTAATTTAACTATACTAAGTTAAGAACAAGTTTAATAATTACTGGTGACCCCATGGGCTTGTCATATAAAGAATTACATCCAAAAAAATTAAATATTCTTCTTGATAATTTGTACGGTTTATAATTAATCCCTAAATGCCGATTAAAAAAATCGCACCCCGATGCTCGCGTTTAACACGTAGGCGAGCGTATGTGGTGTATTGGGGGGGGGGGCGGGGCTGGGTAAAAGAAATAAAAGTAATCAAATCCTCTGAAATAAGTAAATCCTTCACAAATACTGTCAAGATAAATTTTATTGCATTCCAAATCTTCGGAAAAATTTTATGGTTAACAGTGCACAGAAAAGATCGCACTTCGGAAAGAAGTATATTTTCGTCCGGGGCAAGTATCGCTTTGGTTGGGCGAAACGTTTATATACGTCGGTGGTACTTAAGAGGTTAAACTAGTGTTGTACCTTTAAAGTCAAATAGTATTATTTATTTCATACACTGTTGTTGTGTGGGGCGTTAGGAAAATTATGATTGAATATTGGGTCGCAAATTATTAAAGTTAGAGAAGCACTGCATTAAACCATTGCTTCTTTCAATGTTTGCTACCCAACTTTCAGTCATTTTCAGCCAATTTCCATAATTTTCATCGCGCATCCCCCATACAATAACAATGTATTGAATGCAACAATTATATGCTTTGACGTAAAGCTACAATATGTGTGTGACTATAATTATAAACAGTACAAATTATCAAGATAAGTATTAAACTTTGTATATAACAAACTGATAAGAGTCGCTAGTAACCATTAGGCTTGTTTTTAATTTAGTATCGATAAATTAATTATCAAATACATTGTGCAGTACTGATGCATTTATTACTACTATATTAATGTAAATGTGTATTTTATTTTTTATTATGTCAAAATGTATTTTTTTTTGCTTACTTTCAGTAATTAATGATTATTTTAAAGCTTTTATTTTCGACTTTTCAATATCCACATAGGTTATCACGCATACCTAAGGGGACTCTCTCCACAGTTTAAGAAACGCTGTGTGTGTGTGCATTAAACTATTTTTAACTCGTTAGAACCTTTAAACATTTCTGACCCCACAAATTTTTATTTTCTGAAATTAATACATTGAGTCCAAACAGAAAACATCTAAATCTTACAATGGTTATTATTTATGCATAGCATTTGTGTTATAAATAAATTTGTGTAAATAAATAAATTTATAATGTACCGTTAGTATGTATTTTTATAAATGTAGGAGCTGGCTTTTTATTTTTTTTAATTTTTTAATCAAATTTATATTTATGAACTATTTTAATTGTTAATAAGAATAATAAGTGTCAAATCTATAGGCAATTTATTGTGATATTTTTTAATTACTACCATTTCTGATAAAATTACAATTACGATTCTGAAAATAAAATAGCAAAGATAAAGTTTTATTGATTTTCTCCATCGAATCAGCCTGTTAATTATTGTTGCAAATTAAAATATTTTTATAACATTCTTGTAAAATTTGATATGTTTAGTAAAATTCAAAATAATTTCATTCTCTCTATTAAAATCTATTCGTAAAAAATAATTTATTTCGTGCTCAAGAAATAAAATACAAAAGTTTTGTAAAAGTATAAAGTGATGGAACATCTATTTGAAATATTTTATTTTGGTGAATAAAACACACAGTAATGCTTAAGAGTTAGGGACGTTAAATTAATATTTTTTGCACACGTATATAAAACATTGACTGTTAGTTTTAGCATTTATCTTTAATTAACGTCATACTTAGAAGTAAGCAACGGATCTTGTGTGTAATTCTGAGCCATGATCTGTGTAATTCTGAGCCATGATCAAAAGTGACGAGGACACCTATACAATTATAAAATTTACAGACTTGTGTATTTTTGTGATTGTTTTAGTCTATATCTACTATATATTCAAAATTCATTAAATAATTCTACTGATAATTTTTATATTTAGTTTCATCCACATTTCAAATTAAACATAATTGAATAATTAATTACCCAAAAACTTTATAACTCAAAACAATAAAACTTTATAAAAAATTTTATAAAATTTTGAAGTACACTTGTTAAAATGTTAATATTTTATGAAACTTGAACGAAACAATTGCTTATCAAAATCGTTTTATTTCATTCAGTTTTGAAATGAAAATATTATTACATTGGAAAGGAATGAAAGCTGTATTGGAAAAAAAAAAAAACGAAAGAAAGGAAAGCCGAACGAAAAAAAAAAATTATTTTAATTAATATTTGCGTGGAGACAAAAGAAATTAAATATGAAAAACTTAATTGAGCTTGGAAAAACTTTAAATATAAAAATTCGAAATTATCAATATTCCTGAATTTTATAAATTTAGATTTTACTTGTGACATGTGTAATTTTTTTATTCCGATATAAGGACTTTTGTTTATGAAATTTTTCTCTTTTGTTGAAATATGAACAACTTAAGAATAAGAATATATCAATAATTCATTAATTATTATTGATATTTGCGTATGGAAAATGATGATGCTCGACTTTCTGAATAATGAAATTTTTTAGGAAAGTAATTCGTACAATGATTACGTGTTTAAAATGTTTTTATCAATAATCCTTTTTAAATAAATAAATAAAAAACTTGCCATTTTACAGTTTTTTTCAATATTCAAATTAATCAGTATCAGGCTTATAAATTAAAATTTCTGCAATCATTTGTAAATAAACATAAGTTTTAAATTATCTGTAGAGGTATATCATCTATATAAACCGGTAGCAGCCTCCGGACTGAAGTTCTCCTTTTGGTCTAGTGGTATGTTACGTGCTTAAAGAACCGAAGGTCGTGGGTTCTGTCCTATCGCATATGCGCCATTTTATTGGTGACCCTGGCTAAACTAAGAAAGGGGCAAACTACTGATCTGTCGTGGCGCCATTTACCCTGCAAAAGGAACAACCAAATACTCGTGTCAGACTCACTTGACGCAGCAAATACACTCTTCAGACTTACTTGAAGCAGCAAACAAACACGCTAGACTCACTTGACGCAGCAAATACACTCTTCAGACTTACTTGACGCAGCAAACAAACTCGTTAGACTCACTTGACGCTGCAAGCAAAATCGTCAGACTCACTTGGTGCGACTCCTCTAATTCAGCAACAACTCACTCTCTCGCCACAACAGCTATATCATTCGTTCGCCTATCCACCGACTCACTGGTGGAGAAGTGTGTGGAGCATTACTTCTCAAATTTTCAATATTTGCGATCCAATTTTTAATCATAATTTTCATCGCGCCCCCCATACTATATAATGTATTGCATTCAATAAAAACACAGCTACCATACGACCATTAAAGCTACCATACGACTGTAATTATAAACCATACAAACTATCAAGATAAGTATTAAATTTTGAACATGACAAGCCCATGAGAGACACCAGTCATTATTAAACTTATTTTTGATTTAATATTGATAAACTAATTATGAAAAACATTGCGAAGTACTGATACATTTATAAGTATGCTATATCAGCTTAAATGTGTATTTAATTTTTATTGTGACGTAAGGTATTATGTTTTGCTTCCTTTCAGTAAATTAATACTTATTTTAAATCTTTTATTTTCGACTTTCCAATAAGCTCACGCCCCCTTACAGGGATGTCACGCCCCATAGGGGGGCACGCTCCACAGTTTGAGAAACACTGGTGAAGAGGGATTATCTATATAAGCCAGTAACACAGCTTTCGGACTGAAGTAATCATTTTGGTCTAGTGGTATGTTACGTCTTACGGAACCGAGGGTCGCGGGTTCTATCCTATCGGATATGCGCCACTTTATATCATTTCGTGAGGGAAAGTAGAGTTAGTTATATAATATTTTGATTTCTCTTTGCTACTTAATATGTGATAAAATAATTGCTTTAAGAAGAAATGTTTATAATTTCAATAAACTAAAATCATTATACATTTTTTAATGATTTATGCAAAATATATTATCTGCTATTATCCAAAAATTAATTCTAGACAGTTATTACCACGTCAGAATTTTTACCTCTATTATTAACCATTTTCTACAAATAAATAATTTGTTAAAAATTTTTTGTAAATAACTTTTATAAATAGAATACATGTTACTACTTACATTTTTTCCAACTTATTTTTTAAAATATATGTTTAATAAATATTAATTTTTATATTTTTCGAACATCTTTATTTTTAAGCATACATATTTATTAATTATTAATCTACGTTAGAATATCTCAGTATATCTATAGTATATGGTTAATACAGTCGTGAAAAAGGTGAGGATTTTTAGACGCACATTTATTTTATATAAACATAAAACAACGTCACGAAAGACGACAAAACAAATACACACGGACAACCCCACGCGAATAGGACATATCACGAAAGCACTCTTTTTTCGCTCTCGAGATCTCAGCTATTTATAGTTTTGGTCAACCTGAAGTTGTTAGAATCATATAATTTCTGTTAAAGGCTTTTTGATTGATCCGAATATGC